AGCACACACACGCACACACACACACACACACCTGAGTGAGAATGTCACATAGCAATAGATTATCTCTGGACCCTCATCCCTCTCCTCCCCCACCCTCCAATGAAAATGTCACGCTGCCCTGGAGGAAATCCAAGGTAATTAACCCTCTTAGTCTTAACTACAGGCAGGTAATTTAACAACAGGTGGCTGTGGGCATTTCAAGATGGGGCTACTGTCTGTGCTCAGTTTTTCTACCTGGAAGGGTATCTAATAGTACACACCTTGGCTTGGTATATACTCTGAAGTTAATGACCTGATATTAAGAAATAAGTGCAATAAATTAAGACTTAGCAGCCATGGTCTGTGACCAGAGATACAAAATAATAATTCAAACTAGTTGTTATCTCTCATCTAGGCCAACAGTTGTACAGTGTGCTCCAATAATCTTTGACCACCTCATCTCATCTTTAATTCCCCAGAACTAACTTTTCACTGTGGGAGTTATTAATCATTTCCATGAACTGGGGTAGAACAATGGCCAGGTACTTATTGCTTTGTCATTAGCCCCTGTTCAGGGGCGGATTTAGGCCGTCTTCTGGGTCTTCTGGAAGACGGTAAGATTTTTAAGTTAATATTGATGGGTTTATAATTTTTTCTGTCGGAAGACGGTCAAAAATGGAGGATGGATCAACAAAGATAACTTGGAAGACTGTCAGAAAACATCTCTGGATCCGCCCCTGCTGTTAAATGTCATAATACATTTTCAGTCTTCTGAAGACGTTTTAACCCAATACAAATGACACCTAGCTCCATTAACTTTTATAGACACATTAAATGATGTGGGATAAATGGGTTAATTTACATAGGCCAATTATTGCCTATATAGCCAATTAACAACTTACCTGGTATAAAGATAAACAGCAATCACACAGTGTTTGCTGGTTGTGATGTAACAGAATCTGTCACAAGAAAATGCCAGCCACAAACAATACCCCAAGTCTTCACACCTTCTAAAAAAAAAAGCTCGAGTCAGCTTTAAAAAGAAACCCAGCCTAGATTTTACCTTGATAAGAAAGTCGCCAATCCTCCCTGAAGAGAGTAAACCTTTTCCCCTTTGCCCAGCCCCAAGGTAAACAACTAAGGTAGACACAATTACACACAGGGATTAAATAGTGGAGATACTTAAAGAAATTATTGTGAATGCTGTCAATTAATCATTTACCTGCCTTAGGTAACAAACAGGTATAAAACAATCAGCCCCTTGTTGGCAGCTAAAGTCAACGCCACCCTGGGTTAAAAATATCACTTGTGTGTTCACCCTTTATCAACACATTGTAATTATTATCATTCTCATACAGCAGTTGACCTCCATCAAAGAAAATAGAATAATAGGAAAAAGAATTATCGGTTTGTCAACTAATTCTAGCAGTCACAAAGTTGAGGACATCAATTGTTAAGATACCAAGTCGCCTGGGGTAAGGTGAGGAAAGGCGTCAGGTGATGACTGAAAAAAATGTCCATCTCAGTCCTGATATCAGAACTCAAACCTATCAAATCATTCTTACCTAACAATTATCATTAGACTGTCAGTTGCTATACTTATCTGTGCACCTGAAAATCAGATTATAGATTATGTGCCAGGCCTGTAGACAGGGGAAGGGGAGGTTAGAAAGATCCACCCTTATAACCAGAAAAGTGATCCGATTAGGTCTTACGCCCCATTTCCATAGATATTTAGATCGATCTATCCCTATGGGGAGTCTCACTAGATTACTGTCAGCTTGGCCGGCTTAAGCGTCTGTCCCGCCTACTAAAAGCTGTAAGGGGGTAATTAACTATGGTGCCCGCTCAGCTGACTGCAATTTAGCGTGAACCCCCAGGGAGTTAGGTCGATCTAAAACTTAAATCTTTAGATCGATCTAAATCTCTGGGAAAGCACCCTTAATGATGACATCTGATGTAATTGAACACTATTATAATCACCAAGCCACAGCATAATGCTAAGTACCTAACTTCATACTAAAACATCACACTTATTCAAAAATACTCCATGTGAGTTCACTTACCTTGTTGAGGTTATTTCACAAAAACACTTCTATCTTGCTGATAAGCTGTCTGTCTTTTTAAAGACCTGGAGATCTGAAAGAGTAAAGATGCACTGCCATCATTTATCTCTGTTGAAGTGACACATGACACACCAGTAAACCAAACAATTCTTTAAACTTAAAGAACATAGCTCTTTGTATTTCAGTCTTTAAAAAATCAGCTAAAGACTATATTTTTAGCAGCTTAATGTAACAGGAGAGACAGCGTCTTGCACATTCCTTATCCTTATATGGCAAAAATAGTAAAAAAAAAAAACTTAAAAAACACAGAACACCTCCGCACTCCAGCAAGACCAGATTCTCAAACATTTGGCCTGTTTTCCAAAAACTGTACTGATAAGATTTACAGTCCAGGCACAGACAACATCCTAGTCCTGCACCACAAGATAAGCAAATCCCTTTAATGTGTGATTTGCTATTGATAGCCGGCAACACAAAATTTCAAACCTGCAGATTTGTTTAGTTCAACCAAGAAAATAAATGTGTTTGCAGAACTTCAAAAGTTTTCTTCCCTCTTGTAAACATTATGCAGTGTTTAAAAATGACCACAAAACTTGATCAAGTGCTGTAAAAGCCACAGCTGAAATCTATGGATACGGAACCTTCAAAGAAGAGATAATATGACACAGATAACCTCTAGAATATATATTTTATCTGATAACCAGACACTTTTGTGTATGTAACTTATTAACTCTGCCAATTCATCACCAATCTTAGACCGCATTCAGATTCACACATCGCACAAGCTGGGTCTGTCCAACTCAGTGGAAGATTCTTGCTGAAGTGCAATCAGTGCAATCAGCTTAATTGTCTGACACGTCTTCTTGTGGGTGATTAACTATCCTATTCTGATTTAACTGATTCCACTGATTGCACTTTAGCAAGAATCCCCCTCAGAGTTGGACCGACCCATCTAGTGTGAATCTGAATGGGCCTTTACACAGATTAACAGCATACCTTAACTTGGCAAACATTGCGACATTTTGACTTCCTTGTTGCAACATAAGGTTTTTAATACCTGTCCTACAGGCAACAACAGTCAGTATAAGACTTTAGTTTTACAACAAAACTGATCACCTACTAAAAAGTTTTTCAAAACATTTACTCCACAGTCTATCTGAAG